TGATAGATGCTCCTCCAACCCTCCTCATCTTCCATCTGACCTAAGGGGTCTGCCAGACCCATCATTTATGCACGAGTGCTTCCTAATAGCTCCAAATACGTTCTGCAGTGCAAAAAAGACAGTGGGGTTGTACAAAATCTCAGTAAGAAATGTAGGAGCTATAAAGATGTGGAAAATTTGACTCTCCTCATTTTGGAAGGAAAGTAAACTTGCATCTAACATGTGGAAAAGGTACAGCTTTTGATTATGTATCAGGGAATCATTGATAAAAGTAATGGGTGGCGCTAACGCACATTACCTCCTATTGTTTCAGGTCTATGGCCAATGCAAAGCAATAATTCATTTCAACAGGGATTCCAATCATTCGCACTTGTACAGTTATGACTGTATTTTACGACCACGTATGTATTTTCTATGTTTGCCTGCATGTAGGTTTGCAAGAAAAATCTATCTGAGCACATATACCTCCCAATTGCAGTTTTACAGATTTGCCCATAGAAATTTAAAAAGTAGATGCAAAACTCCAAAAATTAAATTTTAAAACCTTGTTTCCTTCTTTAGGGTATCTTAGGCTAAATCTGTAGTTTCAGTTAGCTTTATTTCTCAATCACCGATACTGTTTGGCCCACTTTCCCTTTCTATACATTTTCAATATGCCTTGCTCCTAATATATGCATTTACACATAACTCCTTGCATGTGCACTTTCTCACAACTTTTTTCCTATTCTAATTAATTATTGTCCATTTTTATTTTGTACACATTGCTCTTTAATATATATATTTCTGTGCAGATTTTTGGATTTGCAAAATTCACCATCAGACTCAAAAATGTGATGATGTCCAAGTACGAGGTTATTGTGATATTGCAGTAAGTTCAGGAGGTACAGATTTGTCGCACTTTTATAAAAAAAAAAAACTGACAGAACAAATATGTTGTCTCTTTGCACCCTAATTCTAATGCATGAATTAAACTAGGAACAGGAGAATAACAAGACTGAACTTGTCCCTCAATCTGAAACAATGAGACAAATACAGGTGATCCCCAGTTTAAGAACAAGTTCCGTTCCCAAGGTCTGTCCTTAAGTCAAATCTGTATGTAAGTCAGAACAGTATTATTGTATAATACTGTATAAGTAATATTGTATAATGAACTCCAACCATTGTGTATTTAACTCAAATTTTGCTACAATAGGCTCTATTCTTAACTATGGGTCATCTGTAACCCGGGCGTTCTTAACCCGGGGTCTACCTGTTTGGGGAATTAATCCAAAAATGGAATTCAGATTTTCTTTCCCCTGCTAATTAGGCCCAAATTACACATTATGTTCAATTCATGATGCCTTGTGTGACTCACCATCATAGAAGGGTGCATCATAGCTTCTGCTGACCTGGAAAACCCAGCAAGACCTGTTGTTTAAAACCAAAAAGAGATAGATTAACTATACTGTGTAGTTAATGATCTTACTTTCACATGTCATATTATAGCTTCCTAAAGATGACCTTGCATGATAGATATTTTTCAATTATGTGTACATAGGTTTGAGGAAGAAGCACAAACTTCAAAAAAATGAGGAAAAATTGCTAAGCAACTGTAACCCAGATCAACCTTTTAGACAATATATCCATAACATGATCAAGAGACAAAGATGCTGAATTTTCAATCAAATCCAAGTTCTCTGCACTTCATTTTGTGCTTTTATTTAAATATATGAGCTGAAATCCAATTGTATATTGGACCAATCTTCTAACTATTTGCTTTGTTGTTCTCAACAGTTTCTCCTGCTGCTATGGCAAAAATCTGCCCTGATTGTCCAGTCCCTGGAGACCCTTCTGAAGCCACTTTTCAGGAGACAGCGGCAGAGAGCCTGGCCAAATTCAGTGCTGAAAGCAACCATGTTCATTATTTCACCATCCTCAATGTCACCAGAGCAAGATCACAGGTAAAATTGGGGTTGAGTATTTTTGAGTGAGAAGCTTTGCTGGTGTATCTTTGGTTTGTCTGAAACAGATTAATTCTTGTAACAATTCCTAATCTGGCATCCTTCAGATATGTTGGGAATAAATCTCAAAGAATTCTGGAAGTAACAGTCCCCAAAGTATGGAGAAAACCAGATTAGGGGAGCCTGCCTTATTGGTAGCTAGTATACTTAGCCACCATTAATTGTTCCCAATTCTAAGGACAGGTATTCTTAAATACTATTTATTGGGCAGGAAACCACCAACCTAGCTAAGAAGGGTTAGGCCAGGTTGATAATTGGATGGGAGACTATTACAAAATCAGAATCAAACTTGACTTAAAGAAATTCTAATTTTTACCTGCCAGAAGCTTCCCAGGGTCATCAGTTTTCCCACATGGATGGGACTCTGATATTTGGATTATATGACATTCCATTTCATTATTGAATATCAGGGTTCTGTTCTATATGAATCTTGGAAGTACGAACATCCTGCCAGTCCCCTAGGCCTGCTCTGTGTGCAAGCCTGTCATGAGGCAGGCAACAGAGAGAGATTGTACCGATGCTTCCTATAACTTGTTGCTTCTGTTCTTTGGTAAATGAGATGGTGGAGAGGCATACAGAAGTGACTGCATCACACTTGTAATAAATAGTCCTCTAGTGGTTACCTATGGTGAATAGGAATTGCCTCCAAGTCACTAGGGTTTACCATTTTTAGCCATATAGCCATGCAGCAGAGTCCAGACTGCAAAGACTGGCTTTACATAAGCAATACATATAGATTCATTTGAAACACCAGAAAAGTATTGATCACTTTTCCACTTCTGCCACATTTCCAACACCTGCCTATTTGATAGTTCTTTAAACACTTGCCAGGCCATGCTGTCTCAAGCAGTGTGCCTTCAGGTTGGAAAAGGGAATCACAGATTCAGTTGAAAAGTTAGGTGATGCCAAAGTCCATGCCACGACTATAGAAATATCCCAGAACTGGTCAAATTGACCATTGAGGCACAATCAGAATAGAAGGAAATGCAGCAGCAAAAAAAGAAAAATAAAAGTCAAAAGAAGAACAGGTGTTTCATGTATTTGCATGAATTTATATGTATATAAGCAAATTTAAAAACCATTACTACCATTTCCAAAGAAATACCATTTTCTAGTGAGGAACACTATGACTGGAAGATTTCTTTTTCTGTTCAGTCAACTACCGAAGTGGTATTTTGATGGACATTCCTGCAGCTTTCTCTCTTCAAGTTCTCTAAGTGGAGAATTTCAAATAGAGAACAGTTGAATATCTCAGTACGGAGTAGCATCTGGTCAATCAATCAATCAATCAAATATCACAGGGAGCAGCATCTAGCAGACTTTGACTGATCTAAAAAGCTAAGCAGGGTCAGACATGTTTAGTACTTGAATGGGAGACCACAAGGATACAGCAGGACTGTAGCCTTCTTGGAAATGGGCAATAGTAAATTATTCCTATCCTGTTGCCAAGCAAACTACATGGATGTGTCCATGAGGTTGCCAACAGTAGGGTCAACTTTGCCTCCAAAAATAACAGATTCATAGCCACACCTTCCTGATCTTCAGAATACCCCCATCCAAAGCATCAACCCATTCCCCTTACACCCAATTTTCTTACCTCCCAGACTTTAAGTCCCTGTTGGTAAATTGAAGACCAATTGTCCAAAACTGTGTCAATTTTTTAAGGTTAACAATTTATCATTAAACAAATGCTCTGTATTTATATACTTCCACTGACTCCCTCCTCAGTACAAACACTGATATTTCAAATTGTTGTATAATATAATAAAGCCTTCTGCAACTTGGTGCTGTCTAGATCACTTGGACTTTGATTCCCATAATTCTCAGCCAGGTTGGCTAAAGGGCACATACTGTAGACAATGTGACCTGCTCTAACTCTTGTCTATGACTTCTTCACAGTGGGTTGTTGGTCCTTCCAACTTTGTGGAATACACCATCCAGGAGACCTCTTGTCCCAAAAGCCAGCCTGTGTCTGTCATCACTAAGTGTCCCCTACTCCCATCCAGTACTGCTGTGAGTATTCAGGCATCTTGTACAAAGTCTGACATTTGAGCCTAGTACATTTCTTCTCCAGAACCAATGAAAATGGGATTGAATAGTTTGGGGAAAGCCAGCTATTACCTCATGTGTTGCATGATCCAAGCTATGACCTTATGTCACGCTAAAGCATATTAGTTTGGAATAACTTATGTGAGCCCAAGAATTGGTTTTTGTTAACCTAGGTTTGGGATTTAACACGTTGTATGAACCCAACCGTTCTAAACCAAGGGCAACTGTGAGGCAGATGCTAATATAGCTACAATAAATCTATTTGAAAAGAAATGGAAGAAACAGTAATGATTCCACATTGAATTAGCAGAAGAGGTTAAATCTAAAATTACTTTCAGAACATTACTTTCAATTTTTTATCAAGCAACTAGATGATATTGTCTGTATCTCCATCTTGTAGAGATGGACAGGAATCATACAATGATAGGGTTGGAACCCCTTGCCCAGGAATTCTCATATCATCCCAGAAACGTGGCTGTCCAACCTTTGCTTGAAAACCTCCAGTGATGAAACACCCACCCATAACTCCAGGAGGCAGCCTGCCTCCATCCAAATTCAAACCTATATAATTTTGTGTTTTCCAGGCCAACCCATGAATCATAACGTTAATTATAATCTTCCAGAATTTTGCAGCGCAATTCTTCAAGAATCAAAATTATGTACCGAGAGGAATATAATAATTAATATAATGAATTCACCTCTGGAACACCTGAAAATATTTCCTTCTTCCAGAAAACTATTCAATCATCCCTAGAACAGCTGGATCAGTGCAGTCTGGGGGAAAAAAACAGAATATTTTGATATTCCCAGAACAGTGAGTTATGCTTATAAGTGGATGGGAAGTGATGAATAGCATCACAGCACAGGACATGAAAATTGGAATAACCCTCAGTAAAAGATAAATAATAAAATGTATCTTCACTTCAAATTTAAATATCAGTTTTATACCACTGAAAATATTGCATCACACTGAAAAACTCTATATTGGGCACCTACCCCAGATTCTACAGCAAAAGAAATCGCTGAGGAAGAATTTAAGTTTCTAACAAGCATAGCACAAGAAACCATTATTCTGAGGAGGAGAAATGGCATACCAACTGTAGGGAGGAATGGAGATGGCCCTTTGATACAGAACAACCATATCTCCTGCTGTCTCACTGCATATTAGAAAATCTGGACAGGTTAAACTTTTTGGTTTTTGTTGATGAAAAGTTTCTCTTTTGCTCTAGGAGACAGGATTATGCAAAGGCTCTGTGGTAAACAGTCGGATAGAAAATCGGAAATTTGTGACTGTAAAATGCAATCTCTTCCCGCGTCCGGTAAGTTCCTCAGACAACTATCATCTGCAGAAAATATTCACTCCTGGGTTGTGGAGCATAGTTTACTTTTTAAAACGCATTGATTGGACTTCACCCAACAAATCAATAGATTTCTCAGTTAAATAATAACTAAATAAATCACTAGTTAAGACCTGGCTTGATTAAGCAGGTAGAGGAAGAACTGTGTAACAAGATTATTGTTAGTTACTTTTATTCTGATGATCTTTATTATGTTTCAGTTTTGGATTCTGCCTAAAGTCTCTGGAGTGAGGCTTATAGCTCTTAAAATAAAATCCAATAATGAAATAAAATAAAATAAAATAAAAACAATTGAACAATGCGCCCCCCCCCCCA